TGTTTGGGATAAGTTTTTTAACTCAAGCCTTAAGCTCACTTTTGCCTAAACCAGAGCAAAACAATTATAATTGTATATATTTTATAAAATTTGTAAATTTACTGTACAGATAGAAACTTGATTTCATTTTAGGCAAAGCCAAAACAGCTAAAGCCCTTTTTAAATTATAAAAAAACTTATTTTTAAGAAACAAATTTACATTTTAAAATGTAATTAGCATTTCAGAACACAAGCACAATTCCCCTTCTACTAGAAAGTCAAAGATTCTTTCTCTATTTTGCTATCAGCAGCTATTGGAGGGCAGTAAATCAAGGAGTATACAATTTATGAAAAGTGGTATTAATATTTATAGAGAAATTATTTTTAAGTGTAGCTCTGTCTTGATGGTGCAACAATAACGCTGTATCCTCTGGAATGACAAAAATTGGTTGCTCTCAGTGAGGCTTGACGCCTGACTTGGCAGGAGACACTTGCGGGCACCACAAGATGTCAGCCAACCCAACCACCCACCACCTCAACTCGACCCCCGCCCCCACCCCCGAAGGACGCGCCTTATCAACTATGCAGAGCTTTGTCTCTAAGCGATTGCAGCCGCCCCCTTTTCGGGCCCAACCTGTTTCCTCCCAGCCAGCGTCTTTTGTTGCGCTTAATGAATTTTACGTAAATTTTACGAGCGCTGATTTCTGGCAGCAGCAGCGGCAGTACCACCCCAGCTATTAATCCACACTTTAGATGGGTGGGTGGTCGAGTGGGTGGGATAGTGGGTGGTTCTGATGACTGGTACTCCCTGTTTGTGCGTGTGTAATGACAAGTTCAACAACAACTCGGCATTGTCGACTGCTGACGAGGACGACGTGCTCCGACATTTGTTTGCCCAAGTTATGCAAATATTTTTCCAGTCAAGAAGTTTTTGTTTAATTGCATATTTTGACTCGCATTACGCGTGTCATAAAGCAAGGATCCGAAGCTTACCACAATAAAAGGAGTTGGGCGGAGATTAAATACACTCGACAGACATGTTCCTGAATTTTAGAATTATGTTAAGTGTAGACAAACTAAACACTAAATGTGTCCTACAAATTATTTAGTTTACCTTTAAATCTTCTTCTTAACTAAATAATGTCTGAGAACAATAAGTTATTTGAGTATTATTATAGTTAAGCATGACCAAGATAATTATTTTATACAATTAATTGGCCATTTAAAGCTGGCTTCACTAACAGATCCGAAAAACGATTTAATTTAATTAAATTTAAATTTCGGTGGGCCTACTGCGATCATCTGCGATCAAAATTCAAATAAAGTTAAGTTTCAAAAAGTTTGGGTGAAATTAACTTTCCTTACCCACTTAAATATCGATTGTTTCAATTTAAAAATATGTTAACAGAAAAAAGTTCAGTGTTCATTATTTGATTCCTTTTGCCGCTTCGAGAACCTTCTGTAGAAAACCACAAGAATGTTTATAAAAAAGTTTTACTTGTAAATAAGTTATGGCTTTAAAATTAGTTTATTTTCGATTATCAAGACTCTTAAAGTTATTTTCTAATCGATGTTAAGAATCCGTTGGCTAAAAGTCAAATTCACCAGCTTTCTTTTTTGCCATCCCTGACAGCTTCCGAGTATCGGGTATCGAGTACCTACTTTCTTCCTCTCCGACACAATGACAGAATGACAGGCGACTTTCTCACTTTCTTCTTGGCCTTTTCCCTGGCGAATCAAAACGCATCATGACAAATGCCGAAGACTGGATTTCCGTGGAGCTGGAGCCGGCCACTTTGCTGTCGGAGAAGGAGGAGGACGGCATCGTTACCCGGGTGCATATAGCGCCTTGCTCGGAACCGAGGATTAGGAAGCCACTGGCGGAGCGAAAGCCTGCAGTTTTCCCAGCGGACAGCACGCTGCTTTTCCACTGTCCGTTCTGTGGCAACGGCATTCGCACGGCCGGCGCTTTCAAGGTCCACATGCTAGCCTGCCAGCGACGCTTCGAGAAGATGCAGCGGGAAGGAATAGTGATGCAGTGCAGCATTTGCAAGGAGAGCTTTGACTCTGTGGAAGCCATGGGCAGCCACTGGCTCCTTCACGACACTGTCCAAACGCAAAGGAGGTGCGTCTTCTGCCATGTGAAGTTCGAGACGGAGATGGAGTATCGAGCGCATTTGCGCACCCATCTGGAAACCCGGAAATCCCAGAAGGTCTCCCAAAACGGCGAGTTGGTGGTCACCAAGTGTTTCAATTGCCTTTTCTGCCGGTCGAATTTCTTGGCCAGCTTTGGGTCCGGCCCAAGGTGCCGTCGATATGCCTGCGACGACTGTGTCCTTCAACTCCGGGCCAATGAAGCGGAGAAAAGACTAACTGAAACCCTGAAGAGAAAGGCCGACTATTGCTGCGATCGCTGTGGGAGAAGGTACAAACTGGAGGGCTTCCTCAATCGTCATTTACAACTTTGCGACGGTCGCATAGCCAAGAAAAAACGTGTTTATGAAATCCATGAAATCAGTTAAGTCTGCAGAGGATTGTCAAATAAATAGCTTTGAAACCGAATTTGTATGACACTATACCCATATCCATAATTTAATAGTATATTATCATTAATTTAATAGTAAATTAATAAAAAGTCTTGAATTGAGCTGAGCTCTTTATTAGGTAATTATTATTTTAAAACATAACAAATGACCTTATGGTTTCATTTAAAAAAATATCTAACAAAAATCGACTATAACATTTTTTATAGGATCTCAATAAATAAATTAATTTTTACAAATTTATAAAAAATAACTTGAAAAAACAATATAAATAAATGAAATAACAAAAAAAAAACAAAATGTACTTATTACAAGGTGCAGAGTGAATGAATAAAGTTGATATGCATTTGCTCAAAATTATTCATTACTTTTGACTTACTTAAAGTTGTAACTTAAATATTATACCTACTATTTATTTTCTTTTTATAACATTGAATTCTCAATATTATTAAAAAAATTCAAATTGTGGCGCCCCTCACTTCGATATCTGCTCACTTGTTCTATCGATGTGGTGATATTTATCGATAAGTAATCTGTCCTGTGGTATTTTGCTCACAAAGCGTTAGTACATTTCCCGCCCAGCTGCACGTGTAAATTTTTGTGCAGCCCACGAAAAGCTGCGTAAATAAACGAATAATTGGGCACTTTAAGCGATTGACATGAGTTCAGACGAGTCCAGCGATGGCCTGGAGGACCTCAAGGACCTGATGGCCCTGTACGGCAAACAGGAGCAGCGGAAGCCGACGGAAAACGAGATGCATCACCTTATGCCGAAGGCTTCGCAGGCCGAGCAGCTCAACTATGTGGAGGTGCCCATGGAGAAGGTGCTCTTCGGCGACCGCCAGCGGTTCCTCACCAATCTGGCCAAGTCGGTGGGCCAGAAGTGGCAGCAAAGCGACGACGACGAGGAGAAGGAGGAGTCAAACCCTGGCCAGCAGAAGCCGGGCGACAAGCGAAAGGCCGCCTGGTCGGATTCCGACGATGAGGACATCCAAGTGGGCGATGTCAAGAGGGCCACCAAGCACACGGGGCCACTGAACCACCTCCGCAAGGACAAGTCCTACAAGGAGTACCTTACGGCGCGGTTCCAGCGCACTCTTAACCAGCCCAAGTGGGCGGAGAAGAAAGCCAAGGGGGACAAGGAGGATGGGGACCTCTCCTCCGACGAGGAGGATCTGCTCAGGACGGTGGGCTTCATCGACCGCCGGGCTAGAAGCAGTGATCTGCCCCAGAAAACGTTGAACTTCAAGCGGGTCAAGGACCTGAATAGAGCCACCTATTCCGAGGGCTTGGTCACCAGCGTTCAGTTTCATCCGACGAGCACAGCCGCTCTGGTGGCGGGCAAGAACTCCATAGCCACCATCTACACGGTGGACGGGCAGAAGAACGAGAAGCTGCACAGCATGCGCTTCAAGAAGTTCCCGCTGATCTGCACCCGCATTGCTCCCTGCGGCACGAAGGCGTTCATGGGTTCGATTAGGAGATTCTACTATGCCTACGACCTGCTGGAGGCCAAGGAAGTCAAGCTGAGGTTGCCGGGCGAGTTGACCACCATGCACCGCTTTGAGGTCTCTCCGTGTGGCAAATTCATCGCCGCTGCCGGCCAGTTCGGAGCCATCCATCTACTGGCGGCCAGCACAAACGAACTGTTGCACAGCTTCAAGCAGGAGGGCCAAGCGATGGACCTCTGCTGGTCTGGTGACTCCAAAAGGATCCTCGTCTGCAGCTCCGGCTCCGATGTTACAGTGCTGAGCCTGCGGCAGAACCTCATCGAACACACATTCATGGACGACGGCTGCATCAGCGGAGCGTGCATCCAACTGGCGCCGAATCAACGCCTCCTGGCCACCGGCAGCAAAGAGGGCGTGGTCAACGTTTACGACTACAAGAATGTGTTCGCCTCCAGCGTGCCGCAGCCCGAGAAACGCTTCATGAATCTGAGGACCGCCATCTCGGATCTGCAGTTCAATCACTCATCCGAGATGCTGGCGATGAGCTCCAGCGAAGCGCCGAACACCGTGAAGCTGGCCCACTTCCCCAGCGCCACCGTGTTCTCCAACTTCCCGGATCGGGACGAAAACGTAGGCTATGTCGGCTCTATGGCCTTCTCGCCGCACAGCAGCTTCCTGGCCTTCGCCACCAAGGGCAAGCGGGTGCCGCTCTTTAGGCTTAAGTACTTCAAGGGTTATTGATTGAAAGTGCTACGATTTAAATAAAATATGTATTCTTATAAAAACTGTGTGTGGAATGCAATTTCTGGGTAGTTTAAGCTGCATAACGATTTAAAATGTAATATCTAAAATATCAATCGAAACTTCCTTCAAAATAATAATAATCAGGTACAAATTAATGATATAAATAAAAAAAAAGTATATATGTAGTTTATACGTTTGTTTTTCATATGAATGTAAATCAATTTTTACCATTGGAGTTGGAGTGAGTTATTAAATTCTTATGGATTTCCATTAAGACAACCACTTTTTTTATAGTTACAAGAAATCTTTTATTTAGGCTACAAGTTAACAGGCTTTAAGACATTAAACTTTAGAAGGGAGCTCGGAAGATGTCCCGCTTCTGGGAGTCCTGGATCTTGCCAATGTCGTCCAGCTTCTTGCAGATATTCGACGACTGCGACTCGATCCATTGCAGCGAGCTCATGTGGGCGTTAAGGATCTTGCCGATCTGGATGATCGGATCGGTGGTGTCCTGGCCCTTGTTGGCCTCGTTCAGGTTGTCGATGATCTCCTTGAGGTCCTCGGACATCTGCTTCAGCTGCGTGTCCAGGTTCTCCACCATCAAGTAGGTCTGACTGCGCTCCATGTCCACCCGCGGAAGATTCACGAACTCCTTCTCCAGCGGCGCCAGGCTGTCCTCCAGCTCCTTTTGCTGCGTGGCTATGAACTCCAGCTCCTGGTCGAGAACCTGTTGATCAGTCTTCACCTTCTTCACGGCATCGTTTAGCTCGACGATCTTCTGGTTGTTGCTTATGAGCAGCTTGTCCCAGGCATTGATCTGAGTGGCCTGTTCGGTGAACACCTTCTCCTGCTCCTCAAACTCCAGGGTCCACTTGTTGATGTGCTCCTCCAGTTGGTTGTACGACAGTTGGGAGGCCGTGGAGACGGCCGAGGAGTCCGTGGTCTTGGTTTCGGTGGTTAGATTGGCAAAAGCTCCGCCGGTGCTAAGAGTTGGTGCCGCTGCAGCTCCCAATTGAGGAGCTATGGCCGCTGGAGCCGTTGTCAACGTGGGTAAAGCGGGTGCAGTGCTCTTGGGAGCTCCCAATCCGGTTCCCCCCAGTAATCCCGTGCCGGTGGCAGCGGTGTTCGGTGTACTGGTGGCTATATTTGGCACCACTGCTGCCGTTGGCTGGGCCATGAAGCCTCCGAAGGTGGGAGGAGCAGCCGAAGTTCCAATTGCCGGCGCAGAAGTGGACACCGGGTTGGCGGGTTGTCCGCCCAGCGTGAGGGGCGCTGGAGTAGATGTCGCCAAGCCAAAGCCACTGAATGCCGGCGGAGCCTGTGTCTTGGCACTGTCCGCATCTCCTCCGCCCGCATTGGGAGCAGTTGTGGCCGGTCCTCCGAATGAGAATGTGGGCTTTGTGGCGGGAACGGCTGCTGGTGCTCCGGGTGCTGCGGCTGGAGCGGGTGTTCCCCCGCTCAGGCCGAAGGAAAACGAGGTGGCCCCTCCTATCGGAGCGGCTGTGGTCGTGGGCAACTGGAATACCATCCTCAAAATCAGGCCAAACTTTAGTAAATAATAAAATCGCAATCAAACGAAAACACGCCAAACGTCACCAGTGTTGCCACTCCTTGTAGTTAAATTGTCAGTGTTGCAAAACACCTGTTACCGTGGTAATTGCAATTTAGCTTTTTTCAAGCCAAAATTTGCAGAGACCTTTGAAGTTGGGCGGGAAAATTGAATTTTATATTCAAATTTAATTTTCCACAGCTAGATATTAAAAAATATTATATAAATACATATAGTATATATAGATAGCCTACTTCTCAAGCAAATGTATTAAAACCAAAAACCAAGTATAACTTTTGCGGATAAAAACAGGTATTAAATCTATTCTAACCATTTTCTTTTCTTATTATTTTTATAATAACAAATGACATTTAAATAGCAAAAAACATTTAAATATTTGTTCATTTATAATTAAGACACAACAAATGTTACATGTTTATATTTTTAGTTTTGCTACTTAAAATTTAATTTTAATATTTACCAATCGCATTCAACACTGGTTCTTTGGCATTTTTTAGCAGTAGATTGTTTCTCACACAGCAAAAATCCGCGTAACTTGAAAACAATTGCTTATAAATAGGTAAGTTTTTCAACAACAAAATTAAGCCCACAAAAAAATGATAGATAAAATCAATAACAAAACACTGGCTCTAATTAGTCACCTTTCGCTATCGGAAATTGGAAAAGCGATAAGGCGACATTTGGGTCAAGAATTTAATTACAAGCCTAGAGTGCAACGGCACTTGGTTCAGTAATTGCATTTGCTAACTAAGCAAAACACATGTGTATATTTGTAATCACTATCACTATGTTACATTAAAAAGGTGAAAAAGGTAATATACGTTATCGCAAGTTAAATTAAAAAGTACCTAAGGTACAAAAGTTATGCAGTTCCTTAAAAGTATAAAAGAAATGGCCGTTGCTGAAACAAGGGTATATAAGATTTTAGATTTTTTAATATTTTACAAATCTATAAGTAGTTACATTTTTTTATATGAATCAATAACTTCTTAAAAGTGTTTTTGTTTTCAAGGGAATTTAGAAAATTTATTGTTTCTTAAAGGAGTTTCAATTTAAGTAGAGATTTACCTTCTTTAAATTTTTATGTCAAACATTAGTAACTCAACCGCTTAAAATAAATTGTTCGCTCTCTTATGTCAATCTACCGAATTTGAATTAAATAACCTTGGTTGTTTAATTTTTATATATTTAATATTATAATCTAATTAACTGACTTCCAAAAATAGTACCTAGTAGGTACTGTCTATAATATTCCCATCACTGTGCACAGGTTCTAAGCCTATGCTCCCCCAATTCCCCAATTTTGTAGGCCAGTTTAGTGGGCGAACAGCGCCAGAATTGAACAACAAAAGCATATCAGAAGCCTCTGTTCGCTCCTCGCCTTTCGCTGTTCGCTGGTGCTCCCTGTGATCGCTGTGAACTTGACGTGATAAGGGGCTCCGGCTCCTCCTGCAATCGAAAGAGCCCGCTGTTTGTTCCACACGGCGAGCACCGACACCAATCAGTCGATGGGTGTGCTCCACTGCAATAGCAATTAGCCACTAACCTTCTGGCGGGTCTCCTGCTCCTCCACCTCCACCTCTTCCGCTGCCTCTTCAGGTGCCCCGGGCAAACAGACTTAAAACTTATCTGGAGTGCCGCCGCAAGAGCCTATAAATTGCCTGGCAGCCCAAAGGCCAGGATTCAGTCGTGGCCAAATGCTCGCGATGTGCGGAAGTACGTGGGCCGTCTTTCTGGGCGGGATCCTCCTGCCACAGGTTCTCCATCTGGCCGTGGGCCTCGACAATGGCCTGGCACTCAAGTGAGTATTTAATTATGATTAGATTCGATAAGCCTAAATTGAAATTCACTCTTTTCAGGCCACCTATGGGCTGGATGTCCTGGGAGCGGTGAGTAATAATCTTTCAGAAGGATTTCTGCATCCAATCACTGAAAATGATTAGATTAGTATACTAGCACCCATTCATTTGTAAATTCTGATGAATAGAGGCTGCGGAATAATGGAGATTATAATCTTTAAGAGGAGAGGTCTTTAGGTTGTTATTATTCCATTTCCAACAAAACATTTTTTTGTAATATTATAATGCCTATCACTGATATAACGTTTAACAAAAGAGAAGACTAATATTAATATATATTCAATTTTTACGATTAAAAAAAAAAAGGAATACAAAATCATTTGCATCATTGAATTTGAATGGGAAATGGTTATAATCTTGTGTTATTCAATTTATTCCTGATGGTCCGGTTTTTATTTTTTTATAAATTTTTTTTTTGTTTTTTAAAACATATTTTTTCCATCTTAAGCTACAAAGGTCCAAGTGATCAAAAGGCAGATCAAAATCAAGAGGTGAACTGTAGATTGCTAAACATATTAATCCAAAAAATTAATAATTTCCCTTAGTGTATGGTTTTAATGAACGGATTACTTTCAGCTTTCGTTGCCTGACCGACTGCCAACTTTATCCGGACGAGTGCATTAGGTAAATGCCAAAAAAGCATCTTAATCTCACAAATATTCTAAGAGCTCCCTTATTTTGAAACCCCCTTTCTAGTGAGAAACTGTTTAGACGACATGCGGATCTTCTGGTGTCCGAGGGCTATGCGGCTGCTGGCTACGAGTACATCATCATAGATGACTGCTGGCTGGAGAAGGATCGCGACAACGATACCCAGAAACTGGTGCCGGACAAAAAACGCTTTCCCAGTGGACTAAATGCCCTGTCTGATCATGTAATTTGCACTACTCCTACACATTAAGGAATAGTTATTTATAAAACACTTTCCAGATCCACAACAAGGGTTTGAAGTTTGGCTTGTACCAGGACTACGGCACCAATACCTGTGCCGGCTATCCCGGAGTCATCAAGCACATGCAGCTGGATGCCCAGACCTTCGCCGACTGGGATGTGGACTACGTGAAGCTGGATGGTTGCTATGCCAATATCAGCGACATGGCCACAGGCTATCCGGAGTTTGGACGCCTGCTGAACGAGACGGGTCGTCCGATGGTCTACTCCTGCAGCTGGCCCGCCTACCAGGAGGATGCCGGCGAGATGCCCGACTACGAGTCGCTCAAGAAGCACTGCAATCTGTGGCGGAACTGGGACGATATCGACGACTCTCTGGAGTCGCTGATGCAGATAATGGACTACTTTGCCAAGAACCAGGACAGGATTCAGCCGCACGGAGGACCTGGCCACTGGAACGATCCGGATATGCTCCTGCTGGGAAACTACGGCCTCAGCTACGATCAAAGCAAGCTGCAGATGGCCATTTGGGCGATTATGGCGGCACCTCTCATTATGTCCAACGATCTGGCGGCAGTGCGTCCTGAGATCAAGGACATACTGCAGAATCGGTTGGCTTACCTAAGCAATTAGTAGATTTAATGCTAATAGATTTCCTCTTTTTTTAGTGCGGTAATTGCAGTGGACCAGGACGAGCTGGGCATCCAGGGACGTCGTGTGCTGTCCCGCAACCAAATCGAAGTCTGGCAAAGACCCATCACTCCGGTGGCCAAGAGTGGACACCACTCCTATGCCGTGGCCTTCGTCAGTCGTCGCGATGACGGCGCTCCCTACAGGATCCCATTCACGGTCAAGGAGCTCGGACTAACCAATCCCAAGGGATATCGCGTGCAGGACCTCTACGATGGCCGCAATAAGCTGGGAGTCTTCCAGTCGGAGAGCCAGTTCATCACTCGCGTCAATCCCAATGGTAAAATCGATTGTTAAATCCAATCTAACGCTTAATTCATTTGCTTTTCCTCTGCCGCAGGCGTAACTTTCTACAAGTTTACAGCGCTGTGATCTGAAGAATATGCAAATCAGCCGCTGCCATCAAATCGAATATGCTCTTTTATACACCATTTTCCACATTGCCACGATGAGCTGGGAAATAAGTTAATTCCGTTAATAAATAGCAGGTAAATAACCGAGAAGTTCGTTTGTTGACTTTGTTGATTTTTATTGTTCGTAAAACAATCGATTGTGTGCCTTACACACAGGTATAAGTATTGTACATTAATAGGCATAAATTGCAGTACCGACGCTAGTTAAGACTTGTTCCATGGTATAAATAAGGACTGACTGGATGAAGAGTGGATGCGCAAGCTTGTATAAATAATAGGTGTGGTTGGTTGAAGGTGCAGTGCTATCTATATACGCAATTAGGACCCGAATAAGAAGAGTGAAAGAAAAGCGACCCCCGGGATCGCACCAGTTATAAATAGTTACCGTCTACAGCTACAGCTTACATGGGGTTTGGTCGAGGGTCGATTGGAGTTATTGTCAAGTTGGAGGCGAAACCAGAACCAAACCGCTGAACCAATAGCCCGGGGTTAGTGCACCCCGTTGCTGATGGTCGGCGTGCGCTCGTAGGTGCGTCGATGCAGCGAGTCCACGTCCTTCAGGTAATAGGTGCCGGGAAACAGGGCGGAGATGCTGCCCGTGGGCGTGTAGGGCGCCGCATGGTTGTTCTTCTCCCGCACCTCCATCAGCGCTGAGAACTGCTCGGGGGCCACCTTCTCGCGTGAGTTGAGCAGCGGCTGCACATAGTCCAGCTTCGAGACGAACTGCTCGAAGGCAGCCGCATCCTGGGTCACACTTATCGAGTACATTGAAGCCGCCAGTCCGGATCCGTAGGAGAAGACGCCAATGCGTTTGCCCACCAGCTCCTTGGCCGGCTCTCCAATCAGCAGCGAGACCAGGCCGGAGTACACCGACGGGGTGTACATGTTGCCCACCTGGTTGGCCAGCAGCAGCGTCTTCTTGGTCTTGCTGGCAAAGATGTCGGCGGACTGCGTGAGGAAGGCCTTCTCCACATCGCGATCGAAGTATGTGCTCTCCAGGCTGGAGCCATTGAAGCGCTCCAAGCCCGGGAACTGTTTCGTCCGCTCCGCCTCGCTGCTCAGCAGGAAATCGTTGAAGCTCAGGCGACCCACCGATTTCTGCACCAGCTTGCAGAAGGGCGTGTGGAACAGGATGGCGTCGAAGGTGCTCAGGCTGGCCGTCGGCTTGGAGCTGTCCTTCTGCTGCTGGTCGAACTTCTTGCGGTACAGCCGATAGCAGGTGTCCAGGGCCGAAAGGTAACATTGAATGGACAGCTTGCCGTCCACCGTGGGATACTCGGAGCTGAGGTCCGGCTTGTAGAAGTCGTAGGCATGCTCCATGTGGGTGGCCCGCAGGCCACGGTCGAAGACCAGCGGCGCATCGGGACCCACCAGCATGGCCACCGCACCAGCGCCGCCAGTGGGGCGAGCAGCACCCTTGGCGTACACGGCAATGTCCGCACACACGGCCAGGGCCAGGCGACCGTCCCAGCTGGACGACTCCACCCAGTTGACGGCGTTGAAGAGCGCCGCCGTGCCGCCGTAGCAGGCGTTTGTGGTGTCGATGCCCTCGATGTCCGTGTTTCCGCTCTCGGCGAACAGCTGCATCAGCACCGACTTGACCGACTTGGACTTGTCCACAATGGTCTCGGTGCCCACCTCCAGGCGCCCGATCTCCGAGTGCTTCACATGGTGCCGCTCCAGCAGGCGGCTCACAACCGTCAGGCAGAGCGAGTTAACATCCTCGCGGTCCGAGCAGAAACCCATCTTGGCCTGGCCCAATCCAATTGTGTACTTGCCGGCGGAGGCACCGTCGAAGGTCTCCAGCTCCGTCTGGTCCACGTACTGGGAGGGGAAGAGCACCTCGATGGCGCGTATTCCAACGTTCTGGGGCCAGTGGGATGCCATGATTGTTTCCGGCTATCTATTTAATCCTGAGCTCTGAAAGAGAAACATGTGCATTACTAAAAGTGATTATTTGGCTATAAATATAAATGATAAAGATAAAGATAAAAGGTTAAATGAGAGTCTGAAAGAATGGGAAACACAATGTATTTTAAACCAAATGTATTAAATTTTATCACAATTTCTGGAGAGTAGAGTTGAATTCGATATTTTTGAATAAAGTTTTTATATGTTTTTCTTCTCGGAGTTTTTGTTTAAACGAAGATAGATTTCTGATGTTCTTTGTACCAAAATTAAGTTAAATTAAAGCCAAGTTCTCGGTGTGGCCCGAATTCCACTGCCAATTGGCATTGGGAAACTTTCTCCCCGCGCAATCACGGCGTATTTATAATGCTTACAAATTGGACGAGGGCAGAGACAACCTGTTGCACGCTCGAGCTGCGTTGGACGTGTGTAAGCCAGTGACTTTGAGTTGGGCTGAAGAAGTCATCAAAGTCTCGGCCAGAGGCGCCGTCTTGGCAATGGAATCGGGGAGCGGAAGGGGGCCAACTGATTTCCCTGGCTGAGAAACTGAGCGAGAGAAAGAGAGAGTGGCCAAAGCGGAGAAAGTTTCCCCGCTCAGTCGAAGTTCACAAAAGAGAGCTCGAAACCAAAAAGCGAGCCAAAGTAAAGTAAACCAAAACGCACGCATCACAATAAATGTAAGCCAAGAGGGCAAGCCCAAAACTTAAGGGACAGGGGACTGGAAGCTGTAGCTACACACTAAAAAATATATCATTGACCGTAGAATGGGTATACTATACAACCATTTATACCCACATATACGATTTGAATTTAATTTGGGCAATAAACAAGTGTTAATTGAATACTTCTTATAAATGATATCATTGATATTTTCATTTGTTTGACTTTTAATTAATGGAAAACAAATTTAGAGCTTCACTAAAATTAAACACACAATATTTAATAAAAACTATCTCGTAACATTAAATTTAAATTTTATTAAAAATGTCTTCTTATAACCAATGGAATACTGTAATTAATACGAATTTTCAAATTCTTTATAACAACTTTGAAAATAAAGAATACTTCAAAATTTAATCGTTGAAAAATTAGTTTTCTTGTAAATATTATAGTTTAACCAGCACGTTTTCAACCGAAAAAACGAATTAAACAGATTTTGTTCGGTGGAGTATTGTGGGACAGGTTGGGAGCGTCTTTACCCATATGTAGGTCATGCCCACTAACCGCTCTCCCTCCGCGGATCCCCTCCCGAAATGAAAAAAAAGAAAAAAAAACACGCGTCTATATTGTATAACCGATAAGAGTGTCCAAACCCGAAAAGCGATTGACATGTTTACCGTTGCTGTTAGCACCTGCGACTACTTTTTGGCCTATTGACTATGGGTTTTCACTTTTCGGGGCTGGAAGTTGGGAGGTTGGGAAGCGCGAAGCTCACTCGATCGAATCTCTCCACGGACTGACGACCACCGAGGCACTGCACTGGCATATGAATATGACCATGGCGGCAGAATTGGCCATTGGCAGCGCACAAATGCCTCAGAAATGGCAAACAGCAAACAGCAAACAGAGGCGAGAACAGGCACTGTAAGTCAATGCCAATTGCTGAAAGCGCTCGTCGAAAAAATAGCGATCGTGCATAATTACGGGAAATATTTATCGCTTAGATACGGCCAGCGAGCACGAGCGTCTGGGGCTAAGAAGTCGCCGGAATATATAGATAAACGGATAACCGTGCTTGTCGCCATGGGGTAAAGATCAAAGGCTGTCAACGCTGATAAGCCCGGAACAAAGCGGCTTCCTGCCATATACATTACCACCGAAAAGATAGGACATTTTACCATTTTGGAGCAAATGCACCTGGGAAAAAAAGGGATTCTACATTTAAGGCGATTTGTCCGAAAAAATGTATATTTTTTGCAAATAGTAGCTATGACTTAAAACAAATGAAGCGATAACTTCGTCCTCTTTTTATTTTAATTTAATTCGATCCATAGTCAATTTAAATAAAAAAAGATTGAATTATAGAAGATCCAATAGGTTTATAGTTTCAAAAAATCCATGTTGGATTATAATAGTAGTTGAACAATGTAACGTGATCAAAATCATCCCTTTAAGGCATAGGAAAACTATTGTTTTAATAAGTTCCCAATTAACAACATAAGGTTTAAAAAAGCATTTGATATATCTTGGGGTTTTGAATGAAAACTATTAAAATAACCAAAATGTCTTATGTTGGAGTCGAAATAGTTTTAGTATATTTAGCTTTAGTATGTTTATAAACAACATCATTTTCAATTTAGCTTAAATATATTTTTGAAAAATATTTTAAAATGTTATACCTATGATAAATTTCAATTGAAAATTATATAGTATTAGCTTCATGAAAAAAGGTTATTTTAGTTTAAATAAAATCTTGTAATAAATTATAAATTTCGCCAAAAGTAAGCTAGTGTTTTACGCTAACGATTTTTATTATCATCTACTTATGAAAAGAAATTCACAAGTAATGTCAATTAATTAATTAATATGTTAATTAATATAAGTAAGCAATAAAATAATTAATTGATATCACCAATAAGTAGAATTATATTTGGAATTATATTTGAAGTTTTTGAATATAGAGGGCGGCTAGAGTGTGAGTCATGTTTGGACCGCTAATTTCCTAAAATTCTAGTGAATTTCACGTACTTTTTTCTTTACGTGCCCAAGTAAAATAAAGCTCACCCGCTGCGCCTAAGCAGCCCTTGGGTTAAGATATGGAAATGGATGCACTGTTTATGCGGTGAAGGAACAAAAACCGGTGAAAGGGGCACTGTTGTGGTTTTGTGTATTATATTTTTAGCACTTCAGAATTGGGCAATATAATTGAGTAAACAGTGCCTGGAGCTGATGCGCACTTGGCTAATTGTTCGCACTTGAATCATTTCTTTTTCGGGAGTCGAAAGGGTGTGGAACGGGGGGCAGGGAGGTCAAAGGTCGTGGTGCTCCCGAAAAAAGCACACGTGTATCTGGGAGCCGGGATAAAAGCAGAGTTTAGGGCCAGGATTATGAAATCAGCCTGGGGAAGCTCTCATGACTGAAAATGTTTGCTTAAGCGATAGCCAAGACTGCAAACAGCTGGGAAAACTCTATAGAACAGCTTTTCTTGATTTACAATTACTAATCCCAGCAGCACTAATATTGTTCCTCCGACTTCTGGTTACATCAGCGTGCAACCTGATGCCTTGTCCCGCCCACCGACGCCCTCCAGTGAGTCGTCGATTTCCGTGAAACACCCACGCACTTACTTGATTATATTAATGGTCCAGGGTAGGCGATATGTTTAAAACTAAACTAAACTTGAATATAATTAAGCAACGAAACTGCGGCACCTCAGCCGGGCAGTGTTGGAGAGCGGGCGCTGCCGAACAGCTGTTTTCAGAGTCAGCTGTTCGGTTCAGGCACTTCGCAGCACTGCCACTATCACGTGAATCTGATGGACAATTGTGAACTGTCACTTTTTCGCCAGTGCTTTTCTCACCACACAATTTCGTTCGTATTTGTGGGTGGCGGCGGTCGATTTGCGCTGATTTTTTGGCAGAGAAAAACGCAGCTCGCTGTTCTAACATAGCACAAAAAGCACACTTGTTTCGTTTGCAACCAACCAGAGCCGCTCAAAAGTAAGTGCAACAGTAGATCGGCGGTTTTTTCACGTCGCCGAGAAAAGTGCAAAACTTCATCCCCCTTCGACAATGAAAACCTCCATATTACTACATCGCAGTAGGTCTGCTGACCAGGAAAAAGTGCAACGAATGTTTTATAACTAACCGAAGATAGTGAGAAAATGTGTTTTTGCAATGTGGCTATGATTTTTTTCAAAGCAGTGTGACCCTGAAAAGTAGAGTTCGCCAATTTGCAGCGTTCCGTTTTCGACTGCAGCATTTGACGCAGCAAGCGGATATATCTGGAAATATCCAGGTGGACACATCAAGGGGCTGTAGGCGGGAAGTCGGAAAAAATCTGTGAAAAGTGTTTTAGTTTTTGTGCTGAAGAAAACCCGTGAGCAGCGGAAAATTATCGATCGAAAACTGTCATGTGACTGTCAACGAACAGCTGACTGGTCGAAAGAAACTCACCACAGCGATGGGTGAAGAGAGTAACTCTCTCTCTTTACAACTCTTCCTCTCTCCGTCTCTTTCTTTCTCTCTCCTTGGGTAAACAAAATAAGTTGAAAATTTTTGTTTAAAATTTAAAATACTTTTTGGTTAGTTTCCCACTAAGCACGTACTTGGATGATTAATAGATCATGTAGTGCGAAAATAAGCAAAAACATTTAGTAACGCCGCGCGAGGACTAATAAATAATGGTATTGCGTGCAACAAGGACCTTGGTGAAAAGCGGCCATACATTAGATATATGTACATATGTAGAAACTCGAGGCGAAAGTCAAACATGGTCAATAAGGCGGAAATTCAAATGGCCAAACAGCTGCTGGATTTCCAGCGATGGCTTATCTGTGTGGCCGTGTGTGTGTGCAAGGTCTCCTGATCCGCCCACTCCTTCCACTTTCGCCCACCACCACCCACAATCCACCCCCCGGCAAGCACATTATTATTAATTAATTTGGGCGCACACCCACTGCGGCGAGGATATCGTCAAAACTTTGTTTTTTTCTCCTTTTGCGCCTTTGTTCCTTGCTTTTTATTGTTTTTCTGTTTTCGTCGCTGCAATTTCCTGTATTGGCTTTGGACTACCCCAACTGAATGTGGATACGGATGGGTGTATGGGATTGTGGCAGGGATATGGACAAGGACCTGGGGTCTACAGGCCCACTCCATTAGCGACAGCCGTTGGCCAGTCAGACTGGCTCCATTCGCCTGGCGACGCGATGGCTGGAGCCCTCCGCCCACCGCCCCTCAATCCTCGCCTTGCCCCTGGATTCGGGCCAATCCACGTCACCAGTCCAACATGGCAGCATAACAGTCACTCCTCCTCCTCCTCCTCGTACGCTTAGTCCTCCCTATCTATTACCTCACTTCGCCCCGCAGCAATTTGACTTTCGCTTCTAAAAATAAACATACGTAGTTGTGCACTGAAAACAAAACACAGCCACATACTCTGCATGAGTTAAAGAACTGAATGGCAAGTCATGAAGTATCGAAAACATATTCTCTAATTAGAACGTCCCTTTTGTGACATTCGAACTTTCATATCTTTATAAAAAATAGATAAATATTCTCATACCAATTTCATATAATTTAACATGTCTTACGGTTTAAAAACCTAAAAAGTGTTCTTGACCCTTGATAAAACTATGTGCCATCCTTAAATTCATTTTAAACATGTGAAAGCTGGGATTTAATTAAAATTTTATAAGCTTAATACAATTTTTATGTTTTAACTATGCCTTGATATCCAAATATTTATTTGAATAAGTTTAAAGACAAGTAGTTTAGTTTTGCATAACGATATCACTCCGGTGTTGCCATATATACTTCGTCGATATAAACATGGCTTATTTAAATCCCCCTAGTGCCGGATATAGCTAGCAAAAGTGGACTTAGCTAAATATCTGCTCTCGTTATGTAATTTGTAACCTTTATTTTCGAAAAAAAAACCAAATAGAATTTTGATGATATTTTTTCTTAGCGTGATTCCGTTTCCCTTTTACCATTTTCCATTTCCCGGTTGTGTGTTGCCAGGCTTGTTGCTGTTGTCACTCCCATCCCCTTTTAGTTGTTGTGGTTGCCGCATTTGACGCTTCCTGGGCGAGGACAATGCACTGCCTTGACTTCTGGCTGGGGATGGAGGAAGAATTTGGAGATGGAGCTGGCCTGTTGTCACTCCTTGGGCTCGTGTTTTGTTTTCGTGTCTCTTTGTGAAGGCCATCATCGTGGTTATGTAATAACAGTGTGCCCACCATAGGCCGAAATTGGGTAAAGTTAGATTTATATCTCGTGGCGTTTGCTGTGTGATTACTCATACGCCCTGTGGCAGGAGCAAACAGACGAGGAGCGACGCTAGGAGTCAGTGACACTTACCCAAATTGAGCACTCGTTTTGGCTTTGGCCATGCCGCCATCTGCCTTCCGTGCTTTCCATGCTTTCCGTGCGGCTTCGTCATCAACCGCTTTCGGAAACGACGAATCGGATCGCAGATACTTCGGCCCCACGCTTTTCCGACGTTCCATGGCATCTGGTCGTTGTGCCAGCACTCATTTGGCCACGAACCCCCGACAAAGAAGCACGGCAGCATGTGGTTGAACCGGAAAAAGTAGGAAAAACAAACGGAGTAGAGGATAACCCCAAAACGGTGGCCAGGGGAAAATGCCAAAAAACCTGGTGGAAAAGTTCCTGACCATTCTGTTGAGACGCAAGGAGTGCTAGGATCAAGTGTTTGTGTAAGCAACGAGGACTGTGTATATAATAAATATGCCTAAATCGAAACCGAAGCACAGACAAACTGGCGCTGGACTGTCTGGCGCCA